TTTTTTACTGGGGGAAGGAACGACCCAAACCCCCAAATGATTTTAATCATCGTAAATCCAATACTCGTAATTCTTATATTTAACATGGAGAAGTAGTTTTTTTCCAACTTGCTCCACTAGTCAAATATTTCAACTATTCTTACAATCTCAAATTGCTTTTTCTTTTCGAATTTTACCTCATTTATAAGCAGTGGTGAAATCACGAAATCAGCGACTTTTTTCAGTTCATATTTTACCTTCTTCATCGGTTCAAATTCCAATACAACTATCAAAACTTTCTATTTGGTAAGTTCCATTCGGTAATCTTAATTTTTCAATCGTGAATAACTCTTTTGGTTCAAATCACCAAAACCTACTCAATAACCATTTATTTTATTTACTATTTTTACTTTCATTGTCGTTCCTTTTTTTATATTTTAAAATTTATTTAACTTTTATTAGTAATATATAGGTTGATATCCTATATAATATATTTTACAGTTTTTTTTAAAGAGGCGGGGGTTTTCAAGAGTAAAAAAGGTTATTTTCAACCCCTTTTCTTAATTTAAGTCTCGTGTTTTGCGATAGTTAGAGAGCAAAAAAATGTAATGCCCATTAATACTATTGCTATCAGTTTCTTTCTTATTCTTGGTAAAAATGAATGAGGTAATATTTTTTATTAATTTCCTCACTCCGACTTCACAAGCATGTAAGACTTTATATTTTTTTGGGGTTCATCAATCATGAAGTCATCTCAATTTCTTAAAGAGGTTTTTAATTTTTATTTAAAAACTTTCTTAAAAAATAATCACCCTAAAAACAGACCTATTAATAAACCAATTCCAAGGAAAAGAAAATTAATCACAGAAAAAGTTTGATTATCATTCTCTAATTCTAAGTTTGATTTATTTCGTACTTTTTCTCTGAATTCGAAGCATTCTTCGCAAATAGAAGTTTCGGGGTGGTGGTGTTTACAAAAAGAACAATGGTAAGGAGGATTTTTGTAATAACAGATGCAACCTTTTTCTTCTTCTTTTTTTAAAAAACAATAAGGACACTTATCACCATCAAAAACTTCACTTCACCTTTCACCACATTGAGAACAATTAAAAGAAAGAGGATTTATTTTTGTGCCTTTGATTACCCCTAATCTTCTAGGTTTGCCACAGTCAGGGCAAAATTTGCCCTGACATTTTCTATAAACTTCGAAATAAGTATTAACTCTTCCATAGAATTTCTTTCGACATATAGCACATGAAAAATTTACGGAGTCAGACATGGCAACTTATCGTTTTTTATTCTTCTTTGGCTTCCTCTTTGGGGTTATTTTCCCGCAGAACTAACCAAACTATTGTGGCTAAACTTGCAATCGCTAAAACACTTAAACCGATATTTAGATAAAAGGAAGTGTCGTTTTGAGTTGACAATTCTCCAAATTTTTTCTCAATCATCTCATTTCTAATCTTTTCCACTTCTGAGGCCTTAACATTAACAATTTTGCCCTCGTAATCCGCAAATGAAATCCCCAACTTGTCAAAGACTATTTTATCATTTTTAACCATATCCTCTTTTTTAATTACACTTTCTCTCAGTTCATCTCTTTCGGCTCTAATTGCGTCATAATCAGACTGCGTAGGTCTATTAATTAGTTCAGTTATTTTATCTATAACTTTCTGTTCGCTAATATCTGTTTCAGTCAATCCTAACCCCAAATTATTTATTTTTTTTAGTAAGTCGTTTACTGCTTGGGCAGGTTGCTGTTCTAACTCTTGGATTTTATTCGAAAATTGTTCTTCGGTTGCCTCTTCTCCTAATCCTAAATCTTTTTGGATCTTTTTTAATTTTTTCTGTAAATTATCTTGGTCAGCAGAAAAATTATCAATCAAATCTTTTAAAGTTTTCCCGGTGGGAATTTGGCTTAAATTTGCTCCGCCGAGTTTAGTGGCTAAATCGGTTTTCCAACTATCTGGCAAATCATCACTAGTTATGCCAAAAAAATCTTTAATTCCTTTCTTTCACTCCCGAAAAATTTCGGTAGGAAACGAAACAACCGTCGTGTCATCCAATTCATCACCGCTATCAAGAGATTGAAGTTGGGTTAACTTCTCTATTCCTTTCAAATTAGTTTGCTGAATTCCAGAACATTTAAGGACTTTCAAATTAGGAACATTGCTGAGGTCAAGTTCATCTAGTTTTCTTTCATTAGGACGATCATTAACCTTGGTTTCAAAACTAAAATCTAAAAAGAGTAAGTTATCAAGTCCTGAGCCAAGCTCCAATTTTTTAACTCCGCTATTTCAAAGATTAACTTCTATTAATTTAGGACAATTTTTAATAACTAATTTATCCAATTCTCGTACATCTTCTAGATTTAATTCTTTTAATTCAGGAAAATTCTCTATTTTTAATTCACCTTTCAGTTCCTCTTTGGGATTAGTTGGCGAGAGTACTCCAACGGAAACTTTTACTCCCTCTATCACGTCAACAGTATTTTTGTCTATGGCTAAATTATTTAACCACGTTTGTGCTTCTTGTGCTACCATATTTTGTTATTATTTTTGGTAATTATATACAATTTTACAGTAAACTATTCGGAGTCTCTTTTTCTTTCTTCTCTTTCCTTTTTTAATTTTTTTTTCAAGTCTTTAAATCGAAATGGCGGAGTATTGATGCAAGCATTCAATAATTTATCGAGTTCTTCTTTATTTATTGGTTTCTCAATTTTTTTCGACCAACAATCTACACAATATGGCTTATTTCTATCATTATAAGTAAGAGCAAGAGTTGTGCCACAATCGGTGCAAGTTTTTTTTACCTCTGATTTTCCATTAGTTGACACTACATCATCATTTTTTTTCTTCCATAGGCAATTACAAATTCCACAATATAAATCCTTGTTTCTATTAAGTGAAAGAATATTGCCACATGTGCCACAACTTTTATTCGTTCATTTGAATGTCTTCATGTTTCGGATTTCTTTTATAACTATTTTTAAGTGATTAATTGTTGATAAGTCAATCGTTTATCAATGGCCGAAGAAAGAACCAAGTCAAATCTATCTTGTTCTTCATATTTCCTTGTGTTAAATCGCATTGTAAACTCGTCTACATAACTTTGTAAATGCTTTTTGCTTACTTGGTGATAAGTGCCATTAACTCCTTTTTTAAATTGTGACCAAACTCCTTCCATAGAATTAGTAGAAACCTTGCCATTGACATACTGTTTAGCACTATGGATTACTATTTGGTGGTTAAACCATTTATTCAAATCCTTATAAGCAAACCATTCATCAGTGTAAACGCTAGCACTTTCTTTAATGTTGGTTTTGATTATTGGTTCAATAGTTTCTTGTTGGGTGTTGGGTACTACTTGACAAATTAGTTTTCCGCCTCTTTCTACCATTCCTAAAACTGGCGTCTTATCTTTTCAACTTCTACCTTGGGAATTTGGAACCTTTTTATTTCAATGTCTATTCTTGTTTTTGCCACCCACAAAGGTTTCATCAATCTCGATAACTCCTTTCAACATTTCTCTAAATAAGGAAATATTAGAAGAACGACGCAAACGATGTAAAACAAATCAAGCAGTTTTTTGGGTAGAGTTAATATATTTGGCTAATTGACAAGAGGAAATTCCTTTCTTGGAAGAGAATAAGTATAGAGATAAAAATCAATCCCGCAACGATATTTTGGAATTTTCAAAGATGGTTCCAGTTTTGACATTGAAATACTTACCTGCGTTCTTACACATGTATTGATTATTGGCACATTTTCAAACTTTGGAAGTAGAGTCGAAGGGAGAAATTATACTTCCTTTTCACCGCAAACTTTCAAAATAGTTGATACAATCTTGCTCTGTTGGATTAGACTTTAAAAAGTCAGATAAACTTTGGAGTTGGAGCATTTTTTCAGAACTATTTTCAATCTTCATAATCTTTCTTTGGTTCTTTTTTTTTTAGTTAGGAA